TTGTGGTATCAAATAAGCGGAAAGAATCAATGGCAAGGAAATCTTAGCAATTATTCTTTAGCAGTTGTACCCGCAACATCATCCACGTGAAAACATCATACTAGAGATGATATCATAGTACATGTAGATATATAGTCTCCTTCGCAAGCACATGTAAGTAAAAGTTCATGGCATAATGATAAATTATCCCGTTATGGCGTGGAGGAATATCTAACACACTCATATTGTTTCACACTGTCACAATTATATTATTTATTATATAATAATATAATGCATTTTAATAGATCTGTGCACAAGAATAGCTTAGTCAATGTAATTTTAATGAACAAGTTTGTTCTTAAAATGTCTACTTAACTTATACTCTACTACTTTAAAACTATATGAATTTATAATTAGGTATATGTCTGATATTTATGTAATCAATTTTAAATAATAAAAAATAAACAAACTTAAGGAACTTGTTCTCATTTGTTATTTACTGTACGAATGACATCACATGCAAAAGTATCACGGTAAAATAATTTTAGGTACATGTATACCTATGAACGAAAAACTTAAGATTCTTATATTTTACATTTATCCTTATTTGCAATTCATATTTCACGATTTAAAAAAGTTGAATGAATCATTATGATATCTATTCAATATGTTTTCTGAACAAGATATCTTACAAAAATAAGGAAATTACCCTAATAACTCTAATACACAATTACCACTTACCAGTTAAAGATCCATGATCAGTGAGTAATTACAAACCAGTGAGGTTACTCTCGAAATAAATTACAATAGACCGATATTAGAATTGAGACGTTTTGCCCTCTCAAATTGCAATACTAGGCACATAACCGTTCCATATTGTTTTGTAACTTGCAAACCATTGTGAGCCGATATAGAATTCAGATATAATAACCTAATTACTAATTTTAGTTTCATACAAAATTAACATTAACAATAGTTTGATATCGATATTGGATTCAATAGTAGACCTACTGAACTGTCTAGAAATAATCATTAAAAATTTGTTGAAGGTTATGATTAAGAAGACTTTTAGAGACAGCTTTTTAGAGCTCTATTCAATAAAGCGATACCTAGCTCAAAAGTTAAGAGCATTGACCCCGGCCTAACATAAAAGATGCGGATTCTAACTCCGGCATCTTTGAGTTTTTTCAATAAAGCAGTAATTATTCGAATATGGTTTTTATATTTTAATATTAATCCAAAAAAATATCCACAAGCTTTTTGCTCGCTACTATGTATGCATTGATTTCAGAAGTAGGGCAACCAATTAAATAGACAAATTCTAGATGGAGTACCATGATAAAATATACACCAGATTAAAGTTTTTTAGAAGCACAACTTCAAAAAGGGTATATTAAAGTGTCTTCAGGGTCAGCAACGGAAACGTGACACCCCTGGTGTTGCAGGCGTCCATAGGCTACAGTGACCGTTTATGTAGTATAAAAAAAAAACTGATAACCACATTCAATTTAGTGTAGTAGTTTTTGTGTGATGCCAAAATAAACTAAACATACAGACGAACAAAATTTCTAAAAATTATTATTTTGGTATCTATAAGGAGTCTATTAGGACCCTTTATAATAATAATAATAAATAATTTTTATTCAAGTAAACTCAATAATATGCATTTTTGAATAGTAATTTTTTTATGTATCTACATGGGCGGCAGATTTCGAATGCAATATAGCTGAGAAGAACGGGCAAGAAACACAGCTGTTGCTTTTTTTAAATAAGAGTTAAGTGTACAACTAAAAATATGAGGAGATAAAATAACTGTCACAAACATCGTATTGATAAACACAAGTACAGTATCGAAAGAGCAAATAAGGGAGTTTAATAGTAGAGGGATGGGCAACAGCGCCCCTCTGAAAACGTCTTTAAAAGTCTAACTGCGGTTGCCAGCCCACCTGCTAAGTGTGACAACTACTAACAAAACTCTCCTTATGGTAAAGGCTTATGTTCAGCAGTAGAGAGTTGACGGTTAAAATGATACTGGTGATGATAGTACAGGAAAAGAAATTGAAAGTAGAAAAAATTCCTGCAAACTTAAAACTTGGCACGGCTATTCATTAGGGTAAGATAAAATTTTAATTCATTGCATAGTTTTAAAATAATTCAAACAAAAACTTTTTTTTTTTTTATTATTGAACCCTTGAATCCGACCCTTTTGACCCTTCGTTCAGAGGTGGACTTTTTACGAAGACTAAAATGGCGTTATAAAACTTAGTAAACAACCATGCTTAGTTTCAGGTTTGCAGCAATTTTCCTTACAACGATATTAGTTTAATGGTGCTGTTACTTCATTTTTATCTTAGAACGATATTAGTTTAATGATGCTATTTGATGCTATAAAAATTTAGATTATTTTGTAGAAAATAGTAATTAATGAAATGTACATTAGCAATACGATTTCAAATAACTTTTTATATAAAAAGATAATCATCATAATAATAATAATTCATATTGTACCTATATAGGTACCATATGAATGATTATTATTATTATCGTTGTGTATTACTTATTAATTAATTACATACCTGTTATTACATATAGAAAAAGACCTTGATAGCAGAATAACAATTTTTTTACACTGTCAAGTATTGACTAGCACTAATAAGATCGATCAAAATTTAATGATGGAATCCAAGAAATTTTAAATAATATTTTGAGGTCAAGTCCCTTAACAGTTAGGCTGATTAAGTTAAAAAAAAAATATCTTTTATGACACACTATTAAGAAGTATTTGATTTTTATTAAGCTTTTTTTTTATCTTTACCCATAAAAATAAGAACTGCCCTGATTATAAGTCTTTATAGTGGAATGCCTTGAACAATAAGAAATCAGACAATATCTGGCGACATAACACGATAAGCGTTTATTGAATTTATCAAACAGAGAACTAAACCCAGAACCACTGCGCTACGAAGGCCATTATTACCTCATTTTGATAGCTTATAACAAGTTCACATACTGTAGTAAAAAATAGTACAAATTCCATTATAGAAAACAATGATTGAAACGTGTTGGAGGAGTCAACTAGTTCGGGAGCAGTAGAATTAAAATTTACGTTCAATAGTGAACAATAAACATCTAAAATGATAATTATTATAATAATATTACTAGTATTACTTTTATTTGAGATAGGCACAGAATGTTTTAAGGTGGAATAATTATCCATATATTAATTAACTTACTCGTATACTTACATATGAAGTTGAAAAACTTATTACACATTGAATAGGTCATCCCTTCCTTTCCCATAGGTGTTGTAAGAAGCGACTAAGGTAATTTAATGTTCGAGGGATGGACAGCAGTGTCCCTGTTAAAACATCACCAAAAGCCTCAATGTGGTTGCCAACTCGTCTACCATATCTGGTAACTACTGCCAAAACCCCTCTTACAGATGAGGCCTATGCTTGGCATTGTACAGTTAACAGCTGATATGATGATAATGATGATGGTGATATTAAAACTGTGCACAAAACTTTTCCATAACATAACATTGCATACAAAACAGTTACGTCTCAAAATAAGCTTGAATACGTTATAAACGTTGTTTGTGAAGGTCTCTGAAGTCACTTTGAAAGTCATTATTAGATTGTTACTACAATTAACATAGGTAATCAAGTTCAATCAAATGTTAGCAAGTACTTGAAAAATAGATTTCAAATTTTGAAACATGACGATTTACTGCCAAAACAAATTTACCTAACTTGCTTCGACCGTAGATGCAAAAAACTTGTAAAAAAAATATTTTATGAATAGGTACCTTCAGTGTATTGAAAAATCCAACTAACTGTGGAATATTATAATCCTGAATTACTAATTAATTATTATACTAATTAGAAAAATGTTACATGTGGATAAAATTTCATATATAGACATTGAACTTGATTTTATTAATAAGGGTCATATTAGTGTCACCTGTCGTGAGGTCGTTGCAAAGATATTGGATTATTATTCTTGGGATCGTTGAGATCCAAGTTTGCATTGTATTATCCCTACATAGATGCACATACCAACGTTATAATAACACCAATATAAACAAACAATGAAGTTATTAAATCAATATGGCTGAATGGCTGGTTAAATTGATATATCTGCCTATAGTGTAATATAAGAACTATTAATAGATAAAATCCTACTAAGTAGTAGTCAACTAACATTGTTTTTATCATCATTTTATTATTAGTTACCATAACAAACCCAAGTAAGCCGTTTTTCATTTTCATAAGAATAAAACAGCAATATAGAACACAAGTATGGAATGTATAAAGCAAAGGTAATGATGAAGACCTTAACATTCGTTACGTTACTATAGTTTAGTGTAATTTACTGCATTACATTTAACTAAATGGGCAATTGATAAGCTTTTCCTTAGACTTTTATGTTTACAGAAACCTTATACAAAGGTCATTGTAACACCAAAATAGTTTATTGTCCGCCAACAAAGATTGAAGAAGAAGGCAAACCAAGTATATCTAATACCTTTGTTTAAATATTTTATTGAAATACAAATTGAACATTATATTACGAAATACAGATTGCATTGCGCATGGTCATTCAAAAGGCGTCAGAAGGCTGTTCAGTTAGTGTAATAGAATATTCCGCCTAAGAATAAATTACTGGCATATCAAAAACGTGCTAATTTTGTACAAAGTTACAATTTTAACATGCACGTTGTTATTTAATATTGACTTTTCATAATAATTATATTTTTTTCTAGTGATATATCCATTATTTTCATAGTATCTATAAGAATTAAACAAATAACAAACTACCTTCATCAACTTTTGTACTTTTAAAAAAACACGAAAAAAACTGGTTTTACAGATTTGCATCTGATGTTTTTATGGCATACTATATTAAAACCTAATACTTAATAAGCTCATTAATTTGTAAATAAACATGTGCATTTTACACTGTTCTGTTCATCTGAAATTTAAAAAAATAATTAAATCCATAATTGAAACAAAACTTACCGGCTTTTTATTACTCCTGCACAAGTGTCACTAAAGCACAGTTTTAGTATAAAATGTGGAAACAGTAACGTCCGCAACACTTGAGTTGCAGTGAAAACTGAGAGGCGCGTAGACAACGCGCGGATTAATCGAAAATAATGTGCGCGCGCGCAACTTCCCTGCGTATATATCGCACTGCTGTTTGACGTCACCGAGGTTCGGGTATTGTAGTTATCATTATTATAACTTGCACATAAAAAACGTGTTCTATCTCCGATTATTAAGAGATGATATCTTAACTGCGGTATAGTAAGTACTATACAAATGGGATTAATTTTGATAGTCGATAATGTTACTTCCAAATGTATTGGAATACATTCTGTATTATTTATTACAAACATTAATGTTATTATACAATTAGTCAAACATAAATAAACCGTAAAGAAGTAAAGATTGTTACACATAAGCGTATGTTGTTTAGACTAATGTAAATGGTATAGTACCTTTGTACAAATATTTAAACCTCAATATTTCCTTATCGGGTAAGCAGAAGAAATAATCATTTATTCCTCTTGTGAGTGATTTACTTGTGTTAAAAGTTTTTACGGTAAGCTAAACCATCTTCGTTGTACACTAAAGCCTCTGACATGACTTACATGTTGTCCGAAGCATTAAATAAATGACAATCATTTTTATAATATTAACTCAAATATTTACGCTAAAATTCCATATTGAAACCCTGAGGATTCACTGTCAAGCATTACTCGACTTAAACATAGAAAGCAATACTTTTGTACGTATTTTTTTTTAATGGATGATGATGGAAATGTAACCCCGCTCGCGCTATCGGTATACACTGGCGGAGCACCAGTGAGGGATGATAGGTGAGGATAAAAAGATAGGTCAGTTAGCCCAACGTGATGAATACACTTTGAATTCAGCACGATGGTTTTCAGGGGAGACCGCGTGAAGGTCGACTTGGTTTGGTATATTGCTAGCAATGAGGCCCTTAGTCTCCATTATTAACAATCCCTCCTACCCTACTTTTGTATGTATTATAATTGTTTCCATGAAAATACTTGTTTGCGACAAAACGAAAACAACATTTTTTACGATATGTATTTGGTGGAAACGGGGGTTTAATATCCTTGACCACCTCCATACATATATTCAATGAAACCTTCGTGAATAATATTTGCCATTATGTCATACATAGGTTCTACAGATTCGAGTTGTAAAAGCGTTCGTGAAATGTTAAGAATATTTCACGAAAGAATTAACTTTTACAATGGACACTGAAATAATAGCTGCTTCTATAGCCATGACGACACTGAATTTCACGCGCTAAGCTTTTGCGGCGAAAATACTAGAGAACAGACAGTATATCCGAGTATAATCTTTTTAACCAATATGCTCCATCTAAGCGAATACACTAGAATCTGACCACGACGGTTTTCAGGCCGACCGCACATGTGGAGATCGAATAGATCAGAAGATATTACTAGCAATAGATAATAGTTAATAGTGCAGGGCTTTATTTCCTTGATAGTTGTAAACTATTGTTTAAAGAAAAAAATATTTTGCCGCTACCGGCTCTTTACATATATAAAATTTGCTTGTTTGTCCGAAAACATATTGAATTATTTGTAATTAAATCCACGAATAGAAGTCATTGCATGTTATAGCATGGCTATTAAAATATATAATAAATTGTCTAATAATATTAAAAGTTCGACCAACACACAATTTAAAAGAAGACTTTGACTACCTAATTAATAATTGTTTTTATTTTGTAAAAGACTTTTTAAATAATTGTAATTTATGATACTGCTTGACACTGTAAAAACATAGCATGACTTATTATTCATAATTGTAATTTAAAATAATTAATTTCGTTAATGTTATTATGACTATATTATTTTAGTAATTGTAAAAAAAAATTTACACACCTATGTAATGGTAAATATTGCTGAACAATTTTAATTAATTTTAAGATCTGCTACTGGCAATCACCAATATTTAGTAAATAAAAATTCATTCATTTATTCAACCGTCAAAACCTATTTTCAATTGTTATTACATAAATACTTCAGATTATAACCAAATACTTTAATCCAGGTTTTCTAAACGTCGACAAGCGACTTTATAGAGACAAATACTCGTACCGTAAATGAACTTACATTTATTTTGCACACTACTTTTTGTGTTAAAAACATGAATAAAGAATGAAAGGACAACATTAACACATAACAGCACTAACTTTAATGCCGTTATCTGTATTTTAATATTGACCTTTAATTGTTTTAATTAAATTAACTTAATCAGATCTATATTATTACGTGCGATTAATTATATTGATCATATTTTTGCAGTCAAGCATAGCAACGGGCGTAGCTAGTTCAATTATAATAACGTATTTGTTTTAATGCTAACTAATTACACGTGTAATCTTGCTTGATACAAATTTCTATAGCAATAAAAACTTTTGCAAATGGTTTGAAGTACCTATGTAACTGCTGCCCATTTACATTTTTATAATACAGACATTTACTATTAAAAGATAATAATTACAATAGTGGAATAAAAATAAAAGTATCTACTTATTTCAATTTGATATGACTTATATAGTCAATTTCAATTGGATAAGTACCTAGTTATTTTAGTTTTTTGTATGATATATATGGTGCTCGTACAAATATGAGAAAATATCACAACGATAAAGAAAGTATGGAATTTGAAGGCCAATTCGAAATACTGCAAACGCGGCCTCCATATCAAACAGTTCACCAATAATAATAATTTTATTATTATTTGTTGTAGACGATAGACATATAAGTATCTAATTATGGCATTTTAATTATATACCTTTTTGTATAGCACTACTGCAAAAAAGCTACAGCTAGTAACGACCTTAGGAGGGAGGCCCGGTCCGACGACGCCCGGAGCGATGAAGCCCAAGGAGGACGCCGAGGTCGCCGACATTGGTATTATAGAATGATAAAACCCTTTTTTGTACTTTTTCTTTCATGGCTGACGTCATAAGAATTAGCTCAGGAGCGTCTTAGTAAAGGGTCGCATAGTGATTATTTTTTAATTGTCAGGGATTGGCGTCGTCAAAAATATATCCAGGTAAAGTAAGGCCTGTCCTTACTATCCATCAATTAAATACATGAACATGAACATCGCCCTAATGATCCTGATTATTGATTATGCTGATGTATGTTATCCAGATTTTAATGAAGATCTTCTCGATAAGCCAGACCGTCGCCTCGACCAAGTCATACTCTTTATCTTCAACTTTCGGAAGTCCGATCACATTTCTCTCTATCGATCTCAGCTCAAATGGCTTTCCATTCGTCAACACAGAAACATTAGGACTCTTTGTACCCTCTATATTCTTCTTCGAAACTCCCAGTCTCCTAACTATTTAAGCAGCAAATTCCAGTATCTTTTTGAAACTCACGATCGTAACCTTCGTTCCTGTAATACTCTGCAATTATCTATCCTCTCTCATCGCACTTGTTTCGTTTCAAATTCTTTTATCCTACATTTTTCACGCCTCTGAAACGCGCTTTCTGTTATTTCTGTTTTGTTGTTCATTAAGAGACCACCGACTAAACCGTCTTTCAAAAAAAAAACGTTCATGCTCACTTTTTTACTTTATCCGAATAGTAAATATATTATTTTCAATTTCGTGTTTAATATAGTATACGTAATATATGTGTAAGTATTATATATTTGTGGTTTATATATATTTATTCGTTTATATATGTAATTTTAGTATGTATGTATATCAATAATTACTAGTAACGCATTCGAGTATTCTGACACTTCCCTATGGTTGACTGGGAGAGAATGCTTTTAGCATTAAGGTCGCCATGTACACATACATATATGTACTAATGAATAAATAAATAAATAAATAAATAAAAGGTACAATCTCTTTTAGAAGTAAGGGATTATTAGAATTTCCTCGGTTACAAGAAATAGTGTTTTTTTTGCAGGAAAAGCAAAGAAAAGTAAACCACTGTACAAAATAATTAGCTATTTTGTAGGAGATTACTTTTGAAATGATTTGTGATATAATATCCATATATAGGGTAATGACCGAGCGTAGACAAATCATGCTGTGTAGGCGTTCCAGACAATGTTTACTACTCGCGGCCTCCATTCAAGGATTTGTCTTCTGCAATGGTTGTTTAATAGAATGTCGTGTATCTTCCGGCTTCCGGGCCAGGGTAACTGATTTGATGACAAGCGGCGACTTGCGTCACAGAATATGCATATCACATTATAGCTAGACTGTAACACTTTAAAAATAAAAAATCTCTACTTTTTGCAACTTGTGTTCTTTTTAAGATCACAGGACACTACGAATTATGAATTTTGTTTTGTTTTTTGAACAATTATATCTATTACTTATTCCTTTACCGTATATGACAATATTATAATTTTGAATACTGTTATAACTAATTTCTTCCATATAGGTGACTGAAAAACAATGTTATTGACATTAGCTATTTACAGAAAAACGTAATATGTTTTTCTGTTTCGATATAAATGGCATATTGTTACATAAAATATAGTAAATATAGTATATCGATATAATTCAGTTTTTTATGCGACTTAGAATAGCAAACAAGCTGACGGCCCATCTAATAGAAAGTAGTAACCGTCGCCTATAGACATGAGCAATACCATGGATATAACAGAGTATATTATTTCGACCATGATACCTCCCATGCGTTGCCATTCCTGAGGACTCAAGTGTTATTCCTCTGTACCCTGTAAATTCACTGCAACCCTTCAAACCGAAACACAGCCATGCAAACACAACTGCTTCACGGTAGAAACACGAATGGGACAGAGGTGCCCAAGCAATCGACTTTTGTACAAAGTCTCCCTCTAGTAATAATAGTAATAGTACAATATACTAAATATTCATCAAAAGGTTTTTGTAAATTCAACCTAAAGACAAGTTAGTTCAATTTAGAAACACAAATAATAATAGGAAGGTTAGTCCTCATTGCTATCAATATACCCTATCATGTTTGTCTCCACGCCGTTCTCCCTGGAAACTATCGTGACTAATTTATCGTAGAATTCGACACGATGGGCTAACTGACCTGCCTTTTATCCTCACCAATCATCCCTTACTGGTGCCCTGCCAGTGTATAGC